CACTTGCTCTCGGATTGGGCGTTGTTTAACCGAATGTGAGGTTCCTTGGCCTACGAACAAGAGACTTAGTCGCATGGTAGGCCACATGTGACCGCTCATGCCAGCACAGGACAGAGGGGCACAACCCTGCACATGTCTTTGAGATTGTGATGTTACAGAATTGTCACACACTTGTGAAAGGTAGAAGGGTAGAAATCCGAGGCCATTTAGCCTTTTTCAACAAACCTCGCTCAAACGTACAAGAAAGTCTCCGGTCTTGAGCAGAAGTGGTGGTATGTCTTCTCTTGGAAGGTAGCCATGATAGAATTCTGCTGACTGTAACCAAAGGTCAGCAGGATGTGTCTGTAACATAAGAATATGGACATGGACTGCTCCTCAAACGGACCATACAGAAACTCACAAACAAGTCACCAGCGGAGTGTATGCTTCGAATGCTGGTAGTTGTGGGAGGTGGTTCGGCAAGATGCCCCTCGCCAATAGTCGAATTGTCCAGAGGATCTTTACCTTCTGGCATGACGGCTCGCTGGAACTGAACAACACTCAGTAGAGAGCACACAGCTGATACTCAACGGTGATATATATCAGATCAAACAGCTGATAAGGGTTCCTGGTTTGTTCAGTGCACGTTCTCAAAATTTTTGGCTTTAAATCGATTGACTTGATATACCAATCGTTTGTGCGATCAGGCGATTAGGCCAATGTCAGAATTAACTACTCAAGAAGTGTTCAGAGTTGGCGATCGTACGCGCGATTAGGCGAGTAGTCTATGAAGAAAGTGATACGTATCGATTAGGCGATTAGGCGAACAAGCAATCAGGCTAACAGGCGATAAGAAAAGGATCGATTCGTTTGTTCCGCCTACTGAGCGATCGCCTGTTTGCCCACTCGCCTACTCCCGAACAGGTTTAATCGCCTAATCGCCTTATCTATACGTATACTTCTCCTGGAGGTCAAAGCTGATGTCAGACTTTGCGAATTGAGCGATTCGCTACCGTCACCGGTCGCGTCGCGGCTAGCGAATCGCTCGATTCGCCAAGTCTGACACTGGCCTATTCGCCTAATCGCATAAACGATAGGTTCATATGTCGATCGATTGTAATGCGCATACTACTACTTTGATTAAAAGAAAACGAATGTAGAGAGGGGAAGAGCGAACATCGGCCGTACGTGGCACGCAATCATTCATCCAAGCTACAATACCCCTGCTCACTGAAAGACCAGTTCACCTCGCGCCGCCTTCTGTGTGAATCTGCCCAAATGAACCAACAAAAACTGTGCGGAAATACCGATTACCGCTCGATTGTGGGGTTTTCAGGCTAACTTCCATCGCACTATGTCATCTTTTACCACCTCGAATTTCCAAATGCACCGTAATGCAAAAAAAATGACAGAATTCATTGAAAAAATAGAAAGACAGTGCGTTATTGCAATGCAGACCCGTTCCCCTTTGAAAGTCTCATTCCGTGGCTCTAAAAGGAATTTGTTATCTGTAGTTTTTAGTTGAAGGGAAGAGGCGGCTTCGCGATGATGAGGACAGACTGAGCCCAGGACAGTTAAGAAACTACGTGGAAAACGAAAATTACATACTCATCCTAGGTCTTAAAATCAAGCGCTGAATAAATGACATCCACATTTCGCTAATTCAAGAGACTCCTTCGCGGAAAATTTTTGCATTCTTTCTTGACGAGAATGTGTCAGGTGTGATCACTGAAAACATCTCGTGGTGCAGATAGGTAAGAGGGTATAGCGCAGCAGAAAATGAAAATATCTGAAAAAAACATGATATTAAATTTTCTTTGCAGGTTCAGTCGCTCCATTCCTCCACCTTCATGAGAAGGGCGTATTTGAAGGCAGTACAAAGAATGAAAGTGCATCCCCGCAAAGAAGACTGCCACATGTGCGCACGCGCTGCAAAGGCACCTCCCAGAAAAAAATGAAAGATACTCACGCACCCAAGAGCTTTCTCTCTACCACCTAGGGCTTAGCCCTTACTTCAGCAAAAGAAGGTGCTCACCGCGACCAACCCCCTTATCTTGCGCCCTTTGACTGTGCTATGTACTGCGATCAGTTGTATTTAATTTGTTGATACAAGCCACGTGTACGCTCACCTGGGTGGGAAGAGGACGAGAGAGCAGGGTGGAAGCTGGGGACAAAGGTCGTGGTAGTCCAGCCGAAGGGGTCTTATTCACCCTAGCAGTGGAAATCGTCTACCAGCATGCACTCAACATGCAGCCACCCTGTTGGGCATGCGGCGTAATTTCCTTTCTCTGATGCCATCCAAACCAACCGGGCTCTTTATCCGCACAGGACCAACTTACCAGTGTCATACATATCCGAGGAAGTGAAAACATAACTTGGAAGTCAACTAGCTCTGTGTTCCATTGTATAAAGTGTCCCATACCGATTAGCATTTCAACGCCTGACGTGCTTTCACCAGACATCCTGATCCTGTCTGAGCTGGCTCTCAAGAAAGAATAGCTACATAGTTTCTATATGTGGCTCCTGTAGACAAAGTGACTTCGCTTCACAATTAGTTATGCTAATCCGATTGCTTTGTTTACTATTTCTGCTGTATAGCTGCTTTCTTGGTCATGTCCTGTTGACGTTGATTAGGCATGAGGCTTATTACTTATCTCGCATCCTCTTCCTATAAGATGCATTGTTTCGGTGTTCACGTTCCTGTCAACACTACATGTCCAGCTTCGTCTACTGTCTTCATTTATGCTGTGCAATACTATGTAGACTCATAAATATTAACTTCAGTATGAATCAAAAATAAACGTATATGCACCAATAAACCTGTACTTAAAGGAACCTTCCACGAAAAAAAACATCGCCTCCATTCCTACAAAAAACGATACCTTAGTCCCCTTGCTTCATG